TCAGTGCTATGCTTTAACCCGCTGCTTTAATCCGCAGGGAGGGCCAAGATTTAATTTAAAAAGATGTTAACCAATGACACAAAATATAATCTAAAGAAAGATCCACTTGAGAGGAATTGGCTTTAACCACTTCAGGCATTCAGAAGGGGGAGAGGAGTAGACATCCAGTGAGTTATTTGAGGAAGACTTCAGAGAGGAAATGGGATCTCAACTGGCACTGAAGCAGAAATGGGTTCACGTGAAGAGGGAGGAGATGACACTCCCATAGTGGGAACGGAATGGGCAAAGGTCCTGGGTAGAAGTAAACATTGCCTATTTGGAAGACAAGGAAGAGATTAGTGTGGGGGAAGGTGGGGCAGAAATGTCAGGTCATTATGTGGAGTCCCAGATTATCAAGCCCAGGATACCGGGGTTATGGGTTCGGCTCACTCACTTCTGACGGCAGATCTGTAATGTCATCTTAGTGCTCACAGAGTTGTTGCCAACTAGCTGTCTTTTTTATGATATCTGCGGGTTTTTTTTTTTTTATGATTTCTGGGTTTTCTGAGCATAGATTAGTTTTTCCAAGGCAAATCCTTTGCCACTTTGAACTTGGCCTTCGGTCCTCTTTGTTTTCTTTTGGGGGATTTTCTTCCTTCATTGCTTACAGCCCGTCCACTCCTCTGAAGCCTCAATGATGGTTGTTTTAGGTTGGCAGCCAGGAGGCCTAGCATTTGGTTTGTTTCCAGAAAACTAGTTTCGTACTCCTTATCCATCCTTACCGTTTTTCCAAATGAGTATCATAAAACAGAGTTCAGGTGTCTCTGGGAAAACCAAAGCACGTCTTCAGCAAACCGACTTAGACATTGACCCTTGTCCTCATTCATTTCTCCACTCAGGAGTCCTTGTTCTCATTGTTTCTTCTAATGAATCTGGCTGAGAACACCAGCCTACATTTTCATCCTTCAGAGTTTTGCTGTAGATTTGGTGTATGCAGCGTTAAAGTAGATATGTGTGTGCGTGCATGTATGGACAGGATTAGCCCAAGACTTGGAAGAAGCTGCCAGAATTTGCAGTTGAGAGTTGGGGCAGCAAATCTACTGACGTGGGTGATGCCAGAAACCAGCAGCAAATCTAGAAGTGAGTTTCTAAAGATCCCAGCCTAGGGAACCTTGGGCCTATTCAGAGATGACTTCTAGAACACTTGCGAGTTGAGGGGCTGGATTTGGATTTGGGAGGGGATGGTGTAAGTATAGAGAGCTGAGAACTACATTTTGGAAGTCAGGAAGAAGTTCATGTGGCTGAGACAGAAGAGTGTGGGTGGAGAGGGTGTGTGCAGTGGGGGAACGTGATTTCCTTAGGTTTCCCAAGTCTTAAATCGATGCTCAAACAATAGCTAGAAGACATAGAGTTAATTATATTTCTAACTTAGATTTATTTATATGCCTGCCTGTAAAATTTATCACACTCACAAGAACCCATTTCAAGAAACGTTAGGTATGGATTATGGATAGTAAACTTTCCAAACATCGGATTGAAATAAACTTCATGCCTTAGTTCTGTTGAGTTTCTGCGGGACCCGTGTTCAGCCAGGATACAAGCAGTAGCAGCAACTGGAAGGGAGGAATTTGGCTTCTCTAGTGTCCAGGGCAAGGTAGAAAATGAGTCCCTCCCTTGCCCTCAGTGACAGAGTTGCACCTCCCTCTGAGCAGGGGACTGGGAAGGGATAGATAATCCACTTTAGCTGGCTGAGCTCCGAGTTCTCCGGGACACACCCACATGTGACCTCATCTGTCTCCCTGTAGACTGGAGTCGGAATCTGGCAATCTCTTGTGTGCATTTGGAAGTAGCAAGAATAGCCCAACCTCATTGGGGACACCTCTTTGGTTGGGGGAGCTGAGTGGGTTTGGTTTTTAAAATGCACTGTGTCTGGGCTCACCCTGGTGGTGCAGCGGGTTGAGGCACAGCACTAAGAAGCTAAGGCCACTTCAGCATGAGTTCGGTCCCCACCCTAAAGGTGACCCACATGGCTTGGCAGACCTCTCCTGACCTGCCCCTGCTCCCCTCAGCAGTGTACTTCATCCTTTGGCCTGTTCTGCTCCCCACTCTGTCTCTGGTGAAGCCTCTCGACGCCCCTGAGCCTCTGGCCTGTACCCCAGTTCTGTATATGCGCAAATAAATAAATCTTTAAAAACAATAAAATAAAATGCACCGTATCTAGGGCTACTGCTTTGGAAGATATAGGCAGCTCCAACTGCAGAGTATGCTGTAGACCAAGAGAGAAATACACTACTAATTTATTTACTTATTTTGATTTGTTTTTAAAGATTTATTTATTTGTGCTTACAGAACTGGGGGATAGGCCAGAGGCTCAGGGGCGGCGAGAGGCTTCACCAGA